CTGGAGAGCGGTGGGGTGGGTTGTAGACCCATCCCACTACTTCTAAAAGTGATCCGGTGGCTAATCAGCTGCTGGGATTGCTTTTAACAGAAAGGGAATCGGCTGCTAAAAAAACAATGGCGGAGGTTATGGCTGATAGCTGCAGCCACAGCCCTAGTAAAACACTTCAAATGTTTATATACTGTATATATGTATTGCAGTTTTGAAGTTTATGATGCTAGCAACTTTTTTTCTGCATTGTACTTAACATTTCTGCTATATAAGATAGCAATGGAACATAGCAAAGCCATACCACATATTACATATTATTACTCAGAGTATGAGTCATTTGCATGGCCAGGCAACACTCATTTTCCTCACATCTTCACATGCACAGAGTGCACAGAGTCAGTAATACAGTCCTTGAGCTATTTTTGTAATTGTTTTTATTAAGGATTTACCATTTGAATGGGTCTAGGGGTATATGGGATGCCCAAGGAACTGCAAAACTTGAAGACAAACTTCTTAGCAACCTGTACACTGTACAAAAGGGTGAATCTAAAAGTAGCAATGTCTCTGTTAAGGAGCACTAAAGTTCCCTTGGTATACCTTCTCATGACCCCAAATGAATGCTCCTCTTCACCCAGCTGCACTGAGGGTATCCCTAGGCAAGGGATTCCAAGACTCCCCTTTGTCAGAGGAATGGAAGCAGAGAGCAAGAGATAGGCTGACAAGTTGGCAAAAAGTGTTCTCCAGGAACGACTATGATGTTGGGTGTGCCATGTGTCCCCAGCATCGAATCTGGCTCAGAGCAGACAAATGGTTCCGGGAATGGGCCAGACGGGTCCCTTTGAGGGACTAGGAGTACCTCAGGAAACAGTTGGCAGAGTTGAAGAAGGCTCTGATTATCCGAAAGTCCAGGAACCCCTATTCTTTCCCCATCGTAGTAGTGCGAAGAAAGGAGCCCTGCAGGACTGCAGGACTTTGAACAGACTATCCCTGATCAATACACTGCTCCGTGGATTGAAGACACATTACAGTGCCTGTCAGGAGCCAAATGGTTTAGTGTCCTGGATCTGAAAAAGTGGGTACTACCAAATCCCTATGCACCCTGAAGACAGTGAGAAAACTGCCTTTATCAGCCCACTGGGGTTCTTTGAATTTGATTGTATGCTTCAGGTCCTATCCGGGGCACTCGCCAATTTCCAGCAGCTAATGGGTGCATGCTGGGGGATATGGATCTACAGTAATTGAAGTCCTGGTCGATATAATTGTGTTCGGGAGGACCTTAGAAAAGCACGAAGAGCGGTTGGGAAAAATGTTTCAATGATTCCATGAGGAAGGCCTGAAACTATCCCCAGAGAAGTGTAAATTCTACCAGAATTCCGTTACCTACCTGGGGCATGTAGTCTCTGCAGATGGTGTGGCTACTGACCCCAGCAATATTGAAGCTGTAACTACCTGGCCCAGACCTAACATCACAGAATTGAGGTAATTCCTCAGATTCTGTTCATATTACCATTGGTTTGTGGAGGAATTCACGAAGAGCGCTGCAATCCTCACTGACCTTTTGAAAAATATGGAGGTAGATACTAGTGGACAAAGTAAGGGCCCTCCGCAAAAGGGGCCTTGAAGACCTTATGAACTTATCAGTGACTAGTAGACTCAGCAGTGCGAGAAGGCTTTTATTACGCTAAAGCAATGTTTAATACAAGCTCCCAGGCTTATGCAGGCCCCACCAACCACATGAACTTAAAGTCAATGCCAGCCAGGAGGGGCTTGGGGCAGTACTTTACTGGGAACACACTGGGTTGCTACAGCCTATAGCATTCATGAGTTCATGAGTCACTCTCCCGCTGAAAGGAGTTACCCGACACAACCTGGAATTCCTTGTTCTGAAGTGGGCTGTGATGTATAAGCTGAAAGATCATCTCTATGGGGCTGAGTTTCTGGTGAAGACAGACAACAGTTTGCTAACTTACATACTAACCACAGCCAAACTAGATGCCTCTGGACATCAGTAGCTGAGTGCTCTGTCTGGATTCTGCTTCAGCCTGAAGTACTGACCTGGAGCAGAGAATAAAGATGCAAATGCCCTATCTAGAAGACCTCATAGCCGCCGTGCCACTGAATCAAACTGGTTGCAAGTATCTCCAAAAGAGGTGAAGGCCATAAGTCAGGGAGCTGAGTAGCCAAAGGAGTGACCTATGCTGAGGTGGGTGGGAACGCGAGGTGCCTGCATCCCATCATACTACTGTAATGTGTCCCAGTTGAAAGGTGAAGAGTTACCACAGCTCACCACTAAAGATATGTAGGGGGCTCAGGATCAAGATCACCTCTGCAAATTAACAAGACTCTTGGAGGGGAGGGGGTCTACTTTTGGTGGAAGATCCCCCAGATACCAAGGTTATCCATAGGAAGTGGGATAGATTGGAACTGAGGAATGGGGTGGTCTACTGAAGGGGCACCTCGGACCAAAGTGATGATCTATGGCAACTCTTTTTGCCCATCCAGTTTAGAAGGATGATGTTGAGGTCACTGCACGACAAACATGGGCACCTAGGGCAGGAGAGGACTTACTTGCTGGTGAGAGATTGATTCTACTGGCCACAGATGAGGTCAGAAATGGAGTACAATCAAATCTGCCTAAACTGCATAAAGAGAAAGACCCTACCCAAACAAGCTGCGTCCTTGGGCCACCTTCAAAGCCAAGGGCCAATGGAGCTGGTGTATATCAGATTTCTAATGTCTGGAACCAGATTCTAGAGGACGGGGGAAAGTCCTAGTAGTGACAGTTCATTTCACCAGATATGCTCAGGCATTCCTCACAAAGAGCAGGCGTCCATGGTAGCCAAAGCCCTAGTAGAAAAGTTCTTTGTGCACTACGGACTTCCATAGAGAATTCACTCAGATCAGGACAGACACTTTGAAAGCATACTATTGGCTCTATTAGGAATAAAGAAATCCAGAACTACTCATCACCCTCAAGGTGATCCTCAACTACAGTGGTTCAATAGAACACTACTGAACATGCTTGGCACAATGCCGGAATCACCTTCTGCCCTTGTCTGATGCTGTGCGAGTCCCAACACTGATGAGCAATCCTCCCACTGTGGGGACTCAACCACGTAATCCTCCACCATACCCTCCTCAGCCCAGTTGAGTCCCAGAGGAGGAGGGGACCGATGAGGAAGAGTGGGTGGAAATAGGAATAGATTGGCAACCATTTTTATCTACCATAAAAGACAATATTTTGGCACCCGCCCCTGCATCAAGTTCGACCCTTCAACAAGTTCCCATCCAAAGACTCCTTCCTCTGTGGAGACAGGCCCTGCAGGACTTGTTAAGCCTACTCTTAGAGGAAGAAGATAGTGTTACAACTCAAGAGAAGCCCAGGGAAAGAAGGCAGATAAGAGCACCCAAGAGACTGACTTATGATGTTTCAGAAGAGAGCTCTGAAGAAGCCTTTCATGCTAGCCAAAGAATTTTAGAAGCTCCCATTTACAGTCTATTGTAAGCCCCCTTGCTAACACCATCCCTGAGGAGGTCTTCAAACCCATGACCTTACCTCTTGATCAAGCAGAGTCTCCAAATCCTTGGTGGGAGTCGTTGTTCAGAAGTTGATTAATAATGAACATCTGCCATTTGTTGTTCCTCCTTATATTATTTTTTCTTGCTGAATGTATATACGTTATATCAAATGTTGTCAGTTTGTTTACTTCATCTTTGGGGACCAAATACTTTAAGTGGGGGAGTGTGTAACACCCTGCCGCAATGTCAGTTGCAAGATGTTGAAACAGACACAAGATGGCAGTGTCTCGCAACTCAGTGGCATACACTTTGGTAGAAGCTTTATGGATCTTATAGGCTGACCTGCAGGACTTTGTTAGAAGGCTGCGGGGACTACATTTTTTCAAGAAGAGCAGGCCTCCTAACAATAATTGATAATTTGCTGTAAGTGTGGTTGTCAGGGCTCCCAGGTGTGACCAGAGGTGTGTGACTGACGCAGGGACACGCAGACCTCAGATATGTTATAAACAATATAGTTTATTAACACTAACAATACAAACATAAACGCAGTGCAATACTAAACATAATACAGTGCAAACAAACCAAACCAACCACCCACAGATAACAGTACATACAAGCAAGCGTCGTCAGGCAGGCCGGGTCAATATCAATTGGGCAGGTAGGTACAGGGGGAGCAAGCGGAGATTGGTCGGGGTCACAGGCCAGGTTCAGCAGGTAGCTAGCAGCGTAGTACAGAGGGTCAGGCAGAGGGATGGTCAGGGTCACAAGCCAGGGATCAGAACAGGTAGCAGGCAGCGTAGTACAGAGGGTCAGGCAGAGGGATGGTCAGACAAGCCAGGGATCAGAACAGGTAGCAGAGAATCAGACAGGAACAGAGAGCAGGAACAGGATACAGGGCCCAAGAGAAACACAACACCAAGGCAGAGTCTGCAAGTCTGGCCATCCCTTAAATACCCCAGCATAATCAGTTCCAGGTGTTAGCTGGCTGCAAAGTTGAGTCTCTGATTGCTGGGAGCACCCGCTGGCCAGCCCTGGTACTGCAGATCAAAAGGCAGGTGAGTCCCACCATTGCTGGCTAGTCCATTCCTGACAGTACCCCCCCCCCCCCCCTCAAGGAGCGGCCTCAGGACGCTCCAAACAGTCCTAGCTGGGCAAAATGTTCCACCGCCCGGGTCTGGTAACTGGCGGGATATCAAAGACTGGCACATCGGGCAGGACTCCGGGCAGCGGCACACCGGGCAGGACTCCGGGCAGCGGCACACCGGGCAGAGGCACACACCGGGCAAAGGCACGGGCAGGCACCGGGCAGGGCAGGACTCCGGGCAGAGGCACACCGGGCAGGACTCCGGGCAGAGGCACACCGGGCAGGACTCCGGGCAGAGGCACACCGGGCTGGACTCCGGGCAGAGGCACATCGGGCTGGACTCCGGGCAGAGGCACATCGGGCTGGACTCCGGGCAGAGGCACATCGGGCTGGACTCCGGGCAGAGGCACATCGGGCTGGACTCCGGGCAGAGGCACATCGGGCTGGACTCCGGGCAGAGGCACATCGGGCAGGACTCCGGCGGCAGAGGCACATCGGGCTGGACTCCAGGCGAAGCAGCATCGGGGCAGCGGGCCACCAGGCGAAGCAGCAGGCACCGGGCCCCAGGCGGAGGCAGCAGGGCACCGGGCCCCCGGGCGGGAGCAGCAGGCGTCGGGCCCCCGGGCGGGGCGACAGGCGTCGGCCCCCCCGGGCGGGGCGACAGGCGTCGGGCCCCCGGGCGGGGCGACAGGCGTCGGGCCCCCGGGCGGGGCGACAGGCACCGGGCCCCCGGGCGGGGGCGACAGGCGTAGGGCCCCCAGGCGGGGCGACAGGCGTCGGGCCCCCAGGCGGGGCGACAGGCGTCGGGCCCCCAGGGGAGGGGCGACAGGCATTCGGGCCCCCAGGAGGGGCGACAGGCATCGGGCCCCCAGGCGGAGCGACAGGTCTCGGGCCCTCAGGCGGAGCGGCGGGCGCCGGACCCCCCAGATGGAGCGACAGGTCTCGGGCCCCCCCGGCGGAGCGACAGGTCTCGCGCCCTCAGGCGGAGCGGCGGGCGCCGGACCCCCAGATGGAGCGACAGGTCTCGGGCCCCCAGGCGGAGCGGCGGGCGCCGGACCCCCAAGTGGAGCGACAGGTCTCGGGCCCCAGGCGGAGCGACAGGTCTCGGGCCCCCAGGCGGAGCGGCGGGCGCCGGACCCCCAGATGGAGCGACAGGTCTCGGGCCCAGGTCTCGGAACTCGGCGGAGCGGCGGGCGCCGGACCCCCAGGTGGAGCGACAGGTCTCGGGCCCTCAGGCGGAGCGGGGCCGGACCCCCAGGTGGAGCGACAGGTCTCGGGCCCCCAGGCGGAGCGACAGGTCTCGGGCCCCCAGGCGGAGCGACAGGTCTCGGGCCCCCAGGCGAGGAGCGACAGGTCTCGGGCCCCCAGAGCGGCAGGCGGGCGGGGGGCCGGGGACGCCCCCCCCCAGGTGGAGCGACAGGTCTCGGGCCCCCAGACGAAGCGGCAGCGGGGCACCGAGTCACCAGGCACGACAGCGGGCACCGAGGTCTGGCAAGACTGCGGGCACCGAGTCGTCTGGCAAGACTGCGGGCACCGAGTCGTCTGGCAAGACTGCGGGCACCGAGTCGTCTGGCAAGACTGCGGGCACCGAGTCAACTGGCGGAACAGCGGGCACCGAGTCGTCTGGCAAGACTGCGGGCACCGAGTCGTCTGGCAAGACTGCGGGCACCGAGTCGTCTGGCAAGACTGCGGGCACCGAGTCGTCTGGCAAGACTGCGGGCACCGAGTCGTCTGGCAAGACTGCGGGCACCGAGTCAACTGGCGGAACAGCGGGCATCGAGTCAACTGGCGGAACAGCGGGCACCGAGTCGTCTGGCAAGACTGCGGGCACCGAGTCGTCTGGCAAGACTGCGGGCACCGAGTCGTCTGGCAAGACTGCGGGGCACCGAGTCAACTGGCGGACTGCGGGCACCGAGTCAACTGGCGGACAGCGGGCATCGAGTCAACTGGCGGAACAGCGGGCATCGAGTCAACTGGCGGAACAGCGGGCATCGAGTCAACTGGCGGGACTGCGGGCACCGAGTCGTCTGGCAAGACTGCGGGCACCGAGTCGTGGCAAGACTGCGGGCACCGAGTGGCAAGACTGCGGGCACCGAGTCAACTGGCGAGCGGGTCGAGTCAACTGGCGGAACAGCGGGCACCGAGTCAACTGGCAAGACTGCGGGCACCGAGTCGTCTGGCAAGACTGCGGGCACCGAGTCGTCTGGCAAGACTGCGGGCACCGAGTCGTCTGGCAAGACAGCTGCGGGCACCGAGTCAACTGGCGGAACAGCGGGCATCGAGTCAACTGGCGGAACAGCGGGCATCGAGTCAACTGGCGGGACTGCGGGCACCGAGTCGTCTGGCAAGACTGCGGGCACCGAGTCGTCTGGCAAGACTGCGGGCACCGAGTCGTCTGGCAAGACTGCGGGCACCGAGTCGTCTGGCAAGACTGCGGGCACCGAGTCGTCTGGCAAGACAGCGGGCACCGAGTCAACTGGCGGAACAGCGGGCATCGAGTCAACTGGCAACAGCGGGCATCGAGTCAACTGGCAAGACTGCGGGCACCGAGTCGTCTGGCAAGACTGCGGGCACCGAGTCGTCTGGCAAGACTGCGGGCACCGAGTCGTCTGGCAAGACTGCGGGCACCGAGTCGTCTGGCAAGGACTGACAGCGGGCACCGAGTCAACTGGCAAGGAACAGCGGGGCATCGGTCAACTGGCGGAACAGCGGGTCATGGTCACTGGCGGGACTGCGGGCACCGAGTCATCTGGCAAGACTGCGGGCACCGGATCAGGTACCGGATCATCTGGATCAACAGCGGGCATCGAGTCAACTGGCCTAATAGGATCGTCGGGCTGGATCAGTTCATCATGCTGAGTAGCGGCATCAGGCTGAATGCAGGCATCAGGCCGAGTAGAGGCTTCAGGCTGAGTAGAGGCTTCAGGCTGAGTAGAGGCTTCAGGCTGAGGAGAGGCTTCAGGCTGAGAGAGGCATCAGGCTGAAGAGAGGCATCCGGCTGAAGAGAGGCATCCGGCTGAAGAGAGGCATCCGGCTGAGTAGAGGCTGAGTAGAGGCTTCAGGCTGAGTAGAGGCTTCAGGCTGAGTCACGGAAGGCAGGTTCACCGGTTTGGATACTGGCAGGATGGTATTGGTTGGAAAGAATTTTCGCTTTTTTCTGGTTTTAACTACTGGAGCACTGCAAGTAAACGCAGGTCTGCAAACGAATGGAGCAGCTGGAGACAGAGAAAAACTGGAGGATGGAACAGGAGAGGGAGCAGTTGCTACAGAGGGCTTTTTTACAGGGTTAAAGGCAGGATAGGTGCAGCGAGTGGGAACAGGGTACTGACATGCGGTAGATAGCCAAGTATACTGGGCTGTAACTGGAGGAGCTGGTGGGAATACAGGAGTAGAGTTAGAAGCAGGACTGGGTCTTTGTAAGCTGACTGAGGCTGGGTGCAACAAGTCTGTCCATGTCTGCAGTATGGGTTGAACAAAGCTGAGCTTACACAAAGCCTGTCTGGTCAATGACTGCACTGCGTTTATACAATCTCTTAGTGTCTGTGGTGAACATGTGGAATAACGCTCCAGAAAGTAACCCACATCATCCTCTAATAACCACACCAGGGACTCTACCTGGTCTGCACTAAATGGTGGCAAAAATTCATCCCTGCATTCGGGGGAACCAGATGAAACCAACTCAGCACAAACCTCAATCAATGGCTGCACCTCAGAGAACTCTGTGCCCTGATCTACTAGAACATGAGCGAGCCGTATACATTCTAGTAGTTGATCCCTGGGATACTCCTTCAGAGTTTGATAAGCATACTCCCTGTCATCAAACACTAGCAGATATAAATACACAACCTCATCCAGATCCATCCTTCCCAGCAACAAGCCAAGATGGCTTCCCTGTGCAGCCACTTCTGGTCAGGATTGGCCTTGGTGTAATGTCAGGGCTCCCAGGTGTGACCAGAGGTGTGTGACTGACGCAGGGAAACGCAGACCTCAGATATGTTATAAACAATATAATTTATTAACACTAACAATACAAACATAAACGCAGTGCAATACTAAACATAATACAGTGCAAACAAACCAAACCAACCACCCACAGATAACAGTACATACAAGCAAGCGTCGTCAGGCAGGCCGGGTCAATATCAATTGGGCAGGTAGGTACAGGGGGAGCAAGCGGAGATTGGTCGGGGGTCACAGGCCAGGTTCAGCAGGTAGCTAGCAGCGTAGTACAGAGGGTCAGGCAGAGGGATGGTCAGGGTCACAAGCCAGGGATCAGAACAGGTAGCAGGCAGCGTAGTACAGAGGGTCAGGCAGAGGGATGGTCAGACAAGCCAGGGATCAGAACAGGTAGCAGAGAATCAGACAGGAACAGAGAGCAGGAACAGGATACAGGGCCCAAGAGAAACACAACACCAAGGCAGAGTCTGCAAGTCTGGCCATCCCTTAAATACCCCAGCATAATCAGTTCCAGGTGTTAGCTGGCTGCAAAGTTGAGTCTCTGATTGCTGGGAGCATCCGCTGGCCAGCCCTGGTACTGCAGATCAAAAGGCAGGTGAGTCCCACCATTGCTGGCTAGTCCATTCCTGACAGTGGTTTTCTTTGCTTTGAGTTAGTGAGAGTGGTAATTAGCATTAGGAACACATATACCACTTTAAAAACTGTTTGACTGCGCTTACATCCATGTTTACTATAAACATCATATCAGTTCACTCCAATCTGTGTGTGTCTATTTTCTGGTAATAATTTACTCTGGTCAGAAAAGTACTGTGGTGTCAGCAGGGATTGGCCTTTCAGAGAGGGGTTCAGAGTGATATGGAGTCTGAAAATAACTCAGCAACTCCTAAGGGATAGTCACAAAGCATCAGGACAGTCTTCTTAGATGGAGCCATCAGAAAGCAAAGGATACTATAACCACCACAGAAGGCACTTGAGAGAAACTCCCCAACCATGCATCCATCCCAGTATTACCATATCAAATATAAAAGCAGAGAGCTCCACATAGTATATACTAGTCAAAGTATACATTTATTTTAAAAGTAGAACACACATTTAAAAATAGTAAAAGTACTTGCAAACCAACATTATCTAGTAACATCAAAACATCTGCAGAGCGGAGCTTGTTGTGCAACCTCTGCAACTAGAAGTCCGCGGGAAGGTATTTTGATGTTACGGGCCGATGTTCGTTACAAGCACTTTTACTACATTTAAACATGAGTGTTCTACTTGTAAAATAAAGTTATACTTTGACTGGTATACACTACATGGAGCTCTCTGCTTTTATCTTTGATATGTTAATACTGGGATGGAAGCATGATTGAGGAGTATCTCTCTGCTATGGTTATGGTGTCCTTTGCTTTCTGATGATTCCATCTAAGAAGACTGTCATGATGCTTTTGTGCATGGCACATTTTGACCTCTCTTTAACTAGAAGGTCATACAGATTTTCTAAGTCTTGCATGGCGTTACCTGGTGGAGGATTCTTCAACTTTCAAGGAGATAACCTTATCTCACTGCTGTCTATGTTAGTGGATTGGTACACCATTCATCCCAGTTTTGTTTTTTTTGGGGACTTTATAATTTTTCATGTAGTATAAACAACAATGTTGCGCTAACTCATATAAAAAATCATGTAAAAATGAAAATAAATACAAAGTCCTTGTATTGTGACAGTTCAAATCCAATATTGTGCTTGAATAAATGTGCTTGATATAAGAAATGTGCTCCAAAAAAACTTCCAAAAACGACAGTGCTCCACTGTAACTAAGTGCACTTGCACCTACAAATAAGGACCTATAAATTAATTTAGGTCAACCAAGCATAGTAATTCCATCAAAGAGGCTCCAGATGGCAGCAAAGAGCTGATACAGGCACCACCATGGATCACACTATAACACGGATCTCTTCACAACTCAAACTCCACATGTAGGAAGAAAGGAACATCTCCCATAGCGTAATAACGTTTATTTAATTAAAAAAACATGTTCAGAGTAACACTCACATTATGCAGGGTATATACAGATCAGTATCATGCATAAAGGCTACCGTTCCGCGAGTGTGACTGGGAATGACATCACTAAGCTCCGCCCCACGCATTATGCCACCAACCACGTGGCTTCATCAGAGAAAGCATGTTGTTTTTAGAAGTTTTTTTGGAGCACATTTCATCAAGCACAATATTGGATTTGAACTGCCACAATACAAGGACTATGTATTTATTTTATTGATGTATTTATTTTATTTTGTACATGATTTTTTATGAGTTAGCGCAACACTGTTGTTTATATTGGTTGTTTTGAATTTGGGATCAC